GTATATATATGTATATATGTATATATATATATATTGAGATGACATTACGGTACTATTAACTATTAAGTGTAGCTAATTTAGAGACTAAAGCGGGGATACTGTCCGCGCGGTCGTGCGCGATGAAAAGTTGGATCGCTCTCTGAGAAATCCAACGCTTTTTACAACACACTCTCCGCATATACTAAGGAAGGAAAAGAAAAAGAGAAACAAAAAGATAGAAAGAAAGAATTGCGTGCGAGGCACAAAGGAAGCGGGATACTCGAGACGACGGCTCTTGCGATTAATCCAATAACGAGGTCTCCTTTTTTCGGAAATGCGAATGATCGAAAAGTGAGATCGAAATAGAGAAAAGAAAGAGAAAGAGAAATAAATCGCGAAATGCGATTACGCGCGAGTCATGCTCGTCTCGAATGTTCGCGCGGAAAATCGACACTCGGGAAAATAAAAAAAGAAAAAGAACAAATACAAGAGATACACACACAAACACACGCTGAGTGACGAAACCACAACGCGGAATTTGCGACAAAAAAAATAATGTATTTTCTCACTCCCACTGCGCGAGATGTATGTTCATCGCTACGTCTTATTTGGAACGAAAACCTAAATATATTATATTATTATATAAAATTACTGTATAATTGTAACGAAAATTGTTTTTCAAACGATATGGTATTTTTATTGTAGATATTATTATATAACAAATAAAATCATGATTCATTGTATCCGACTACGATTATTTCGTGTTATTCAACTCTATTTCTTTATCCCTTTCTCGGTGAGATTTTTTTGCGTTTAATGTTTGCACGAATTAAATGAATCAATAATCTTTTATAGTTTTCTTCTTCATTGATTTTTCTCCCACAGTTGATAGAAAGAAAATTGTCGGATTCATTTCAAGATTTCTTAGAAGAAAAATGCGTTTTACTTTAGAAAAATTAGTAAGCAATTATTAACATCTCTTCTTTGTTGAATTATTGTTTTCATGTATTGTATATCATCATATATCTGCAGAATATTGTATGTAATAATTTTTTTATTAATTCGTATTGCAAATAATTTCTACATTATGAAAATATATCCTAGAATATTTTAATGTCATAATAATCCAGTGACCATTATAGTCATTTTCAATCTATTTTATGTGTCTTATGTTATGAAATCATTGACTAATTGCATTTATTTCATATCCACTTTTCATTTTAAAAAATATAATATTTAATATCCTTTTTATGCATACATTATTTCTTCTTTAAAGAAGTTTTTTTTAGAATTATGTTCTGTTCAATATCACCGACAGTTTTGTCAACACTCGAGAAAGGATCCATAATTTAACGCCGAATCCGAACGACGAACGCGAAAAATCGCGTATGCGGGACGCAGGTAGAATCAAACCCGGATCTACAACTTACGAGTCAAATCGGCGTCTCAATTTGATACTTTTACGATATGATAACTTTGAGTAGTAACTTACCAGCAGTTTGCCAAAATCATCATCATCAAAATTCATATTACTGCTATTATGTTGTCAACAATAATACACTGAACTATATATACAAAATGAAAATGGCGATAGAGGAAAATTCGTGGCCGCAATTGATCAGCCGCCATTTTATGTATATTTGGGGCGGATCAGAAGCGCGCGCTGCGATTGATGTATCGATCGATGTATTATCGATGTATGAAAATCTATGTATGTAAACAAAAATAATATCATATCAATTTTAGATCTGTTTTCTGTGGCTGAACTAGCGTACACTAGCCGAAAATTTGCCCAGGATTGATACTTTAATAGTATCTCTAGGTCTTAATACTTTAATAGTCTTGTCGGTGTCAATACTCATTATTTCAGCATTAGATCCGTTCTTTTTAGCTGAACTTTTTTTACACAGTTTATTTTTTCTCTTTTTCTCTTCAATATGAAAAAAAAAAAAGAAGAAAGATGAACTATGTTAAAAGTTCAGCTAAAGAGTTCATTAAAAAACAGACCTATTGAAAGTTGTATACAACAATTATTGTTTGAAAAATATATTTTTTAAATGTAGTCTAGCGCTCTAAATCTTATTGGCTATAGAATCCTATTGGCTATACAATGACAGCAATGGTGTCTGTTTTGCGGAAGCGAGTGCCGCGAGCGCCACGAGTAACTTCCTTTCTGTTCTTTTCAACAGATTTTACGACGTGCTGTTCGGTCGTCAAAATGCAGAAGGTAAATTTTGTATCATCTTTATGATCAGTATTAGATGGACACAAACGAAAGTAAATATTAATTGAATCGCGCTTTTTTTTTCAGAAACAAAAAGAGCCGATCCACTCCGTGCAGGTCTTCGGACGTAAGGTGAGCATTGTGAGGTTAGGTCCACGCGTGGCATGTTTAACGCACGGCATGTTTAACGCGAATCTTCTCATTGCAGAAAAGTGCGACCGCGGTCGCCTATTGTAAACGTGGACGTGGAAATCTCCGTGTTAACGGTCGACCGCTGGAGCTGGTGGAACCCCGCGTGTTGCAATACAAATTGCAGGAGCCCATCCTGCTGCTAGGCAAAGTGAGTAACGCAGAGAACTAATAGTTGGCTCCTAATTCCTAAAGCCGAGGGAGAAGACATTGGAGCAAATTGACATGCGAATTTGTCGTGTCTATTCATAAATCGTTCCATGATGTCTACTTATTCCGAATATGATGGTTCATGATTAGCAGTAGATTCTGAAAATAGTCTTTCCTCTGAGCTCTCACTAGTGCAAGCAAAATACTGTTTTTCATCAAACAAAAATATTTTCATTTGTTTTAGGAGAAGTTTTCTGGAGTCGATATCAGGGTGAGAGTGAGTGGTGGTGGTCATGTTGCACAGATCTATGCTATACGACAGGCAATTTCTAAGGCTCTCGTTGCCTACTATCAAAAATGTAAGTAAATTTAATAATGAATGTGATTGTTGATAATTTATAATAATTAATAATGTAATTGTTATCTTAGATGTTGATGAAGCCAGCAAGAAGGAAGTAAAGGATATTCTTATTCAATATGACCGTACTCTCCTTGTTGCTGATCCAAGGAGGTGCGAGCCAAAGAAGTTTGGTGGTCCAGGCGCCAGAGCACGATACCAGAAATCTTATCGTTAATATTCGCAATGTTTACATCTTATTCATATTGAATATAAAAAAAACATTTAAAATCTATATGTTTTATCTTTCTTTACTCCTGTTTCCTTAATATTTATACTATAATTCTTTTTATACTTTTTTATTTTATATACAGGATTATTATTAAATAAATAGCTTTTAATTAATATTTCATTCTTTTCAAAGTTTTTGAAGTTTAACACGTAAGTAGCAATTTAGTGTGATTAACTGGATTTTTGAAGGTAACAATCAAAAATAAATTTTTGTAGCAAATTTTTATAACAAATTAATTTCTGACTTGTGTTTTTGTTTGTTCAGGTTTATTTGATAATTATTTATTTTTAAAATTTTTTGAAGTCTCACTTTAAAAAATAAAAATTAAGCCAGTTTTGAAAAAGAACGATTTCATTTTCGCTCTTTAATCGATCTTTAATGAGATCTTTTACTCTAAAAATTTCAGTGACTAACATTATATATGTATATATACCCAGTTTAGAAATGTCTGAAATAAAATTTAATAGATAAAGATATGATTTATAGATAAGATTAATTAATTTTGCAAAAAGTTTCGATAAATGTTCGTCTGTATTTGTGGATGTGATGTGACTTTTCGTTCATTCTATATGTATTCCTAGATTTTCTAGTTCCCAAGTAGCGTATATATGTCATATTGTGCAAGTTCATACAAGCTAGTCAGCGAAATAGCGTAAACTAAACTGTAGAGTTGAGTGTAGAGTATGTCGAACTGTCACTGTTTTTCGATAAATTTTTCAAAGAGAAAATAAAACCATCAAAAAATGAAGACACGGTTTAATACTTATGATCTTGTATGTTCAGTCACTGAACTACAAAGGTAAGAGAAAAAGATAAAAATGTATTTTTGATTTTAATAAGATCTTGAGGTTATGACAAAAATTTCATTTTCCTCAAAATATACAATTTATCTTTTAAAAGAATACAATAATAATAATTTTATTTTTAAAACACATAAATTAATTGCAACTGGTTTTTACTGATAAATAATTGTTAATACATAAATAATTATACAATATGATAATGCAACAGATTAACACAAGTTATATGCTCACAAGCTATCTTATAATCATGTGAAAACTTTTAGACTTATTGGCATGCGTGTCAATCAGATATACGATATAGACCATCGCACATATCTTATACGCCTTCAACGTAATGAAGAAAAATGTATTCTTTTGCTTGAATCTGGTAACAGAATCCATATTACAGTTTTTGAATGGCCTAAGAATGTAGCTCCTTCAGGATTCTCAATGAAGGTAAAATTTCTGCTAAATAATAATATTAAATTATAAAATAGCTCTGCTATTACTAGTAATAAATATCTTGCAATCTATATAATTTACAGATGCGTAAACATCTTAAGAACAAAAGATTAGAAAGTCTTATGCAAGTCGGTACGGATCGAATAATAAAGTTACAATTCGGAAGTGGTGAAGCTGCCTACCATGTAATTTTGGAGGTATATGATCGTGGTAATATAATTTTGACTGATCATGAAATGGTCATTTTATATGTGTTAAGACCTCATACAGAAGGAGATAAAATTAGGTAACAAACAAAATGTATCTACAAAATGTAAAATATATGTCGGCATATAAACTAACAAAATCAAATTTTGATATTTAGATTTGCAGTGAAAGAGAAATATCCCTTAGACAGAGCTCATTCCACAACTATGCCACCTACAGATGTAATCCATGAGCATATTCAAAAAGCTAAGGAGGGCGATAGTCTTAAAAAAGTATTAAATCCATTGTTAGAATTTGGTTCAGCTGTGATTGATCATGTTTTACTTAAAGCCGGATTTAATCTTGGTTGCAAAATTGGTAAAGATTTTCATATCACTGAAGATATGCCGAGATTAATTCTAGCACTCGAGGATGCTAATAATATCATGGATTATGCAAAGAAAAATGTCTCAAAAGGCTATATTATACAGAAAAAAGAATCGAAACTGACTCAAAATGGCAAGGAAGATTTTATATTTGCTAATATTGAATTTCATCCTTTTTTATTTGAGCAATATAATAATCAACCTTACAAGGAATTTGATTCTTTTGATGCCGCAGTGGATGAATATTTCTCTATGATGGAAGGACAAAAAATAGATTTGAAAGCTCTGCAACAGGAAAGAGAAGCTTTACAAAAATTAGAAAGAGTGAGAAAGGATCACAGTCAGCGATTGATTTCGTTAGAAAAGACGCAAGAATTAGATAAACAAAAAGCAGAATTAATTTCAAGGAATCAGATTTTAGTGGACAACGCTATACTAGCTATACAAAGCGCCTTAGCAAATCAAATGTCTTGGCCCGACATTCAAGTTTTATTGAAAGAAGCTCAAGCCAGAGGTGATCCTGTCGCTTCTGCTATAAAACAATTAAAATTAGAAACGAATCATGTTGCCCTAATGTTGCACGATCCTTATGAAGACAGTGATGAGGAATCTAAGCTTAAACCTATGATGATTGATATAGATTTGGCGCATACAGCATTCAGTAATGCCAAGAAGTATTATAGTCAAAAAAAATCAGCTGCAAAGAAGCAACAAAAAACGATAGAATCCCAGGGAAAAGCTTTGAAATCGGCCGAAAAGAAGACAAAGCAAACACTGAAAGAAGTGCAAACCATACATACCATTAATAAATTAAGAAAGACATATTGGTTTGAAAAATTCTATTGGTTTATTACATCCGAAAATTACTTAGGTATGTTTTTCTTTTAATAATTTATGTCGAAATTATTAATTTTAACATAAATACATACATACATACAGTGATCGGAGGAAGAGATCAACAGCAGAACGAATTGATTGTTAAAAGATATCTGAAGGCAGGAGATTTATACGTTCATGCAGATTTAACTGGCGCTAGTTCTGTCGTAATAAAAAATCCCAGTGGCAATCCTGTACCGCCAAAATCATTAGCAGAGGCAGGTACAATGGCTGTTGCGTACAGGTATATAATTATATTGATTTTATTTTTACAATAATATTGGATCGTCCGGAAAGTTCGTGCCGCAAAAGATTTAAATTTAATAAATGAAATTAAAAATTTAAATCTTCTGCATTTCATTTTTCCTTCAAAATCGGCACGAACTTTCCGGACGATCCAATAGAACTTGCTAAATTTATATATACATTTTTAAACTATTATTATATTATTATAATTATATATTATGCTTAATATTACATCTGTAGTATAGCTTGGGATTCGAAAGTAATAGCTAGTGCATGGTGGGTGCATCATGATCAAGTATCCAAGAGTGCTCCTACTGGTGAATATCTTACTACCGGATCCTTCATGATACGTGGAAAAAAAAATTATCTGACGCACAGTCAATTAATTATGGGATTGGGTATTATGTTTCGTTTGGAAGACAGTTCCATAGAACGACATAAAGATGAAAGGAGAGTGAAAACAATAGACGAGGAAAGCGAAAAAGCGGATTTGATAGTTGAAGATGATGGAGAAATAGAATTAGAAGGAGATTCGGATGAAGGTAAATAATGTAATAAATCATCTAACATTTAATTAAATTTCTTTAATTGTTAATATATATTTTCAAAAGCTCATAATTTTAATGCTAGATGAAAATCTAGAAAAACAAGAACAAAATCTAGAGAACAAAGATACATTACATCCAATTCAAGAGGAAGATCAAGAGAAATCAGAATCTTATATAACAGATTATAATGTTAAAAAAGATACTTGTGGAGAAGATGAAAAAGATACAGATGAAGATACAAAATATCAATTTCCTGATACACAAATTAAAATTGATCTTTCAGGCCCAAAGTGAGTTAATACAAAATTCGATTGTAAATTAAATGAAATATATGTACATATATGACATAATTTTATATCAAACAGGGTAAAAATACATGTTGACAATAATCAGCCTTTAATGCAATCTCAGAAGGACACGAAAGAAAACGTGGTTTATTTAGGAGATGACAAACCTATTATAATAAATGCATCAACTATGGAGAAACATGCAAAAGCAAAACAAAAAACACATCTAAAAGAATCAACAAAAAAGATTGAAAAAGATGATAAAAATGAAAATGATAATAAAAAAGGAGAGCAACCTGCGTTAAAACGAGGGCAAAAAGGAAAGCTTAAAAAAATGAAAGAAAAGTATAAAGATCAAGATGAGGAAGATAGAAGGCTTTCAATGCTCGTTTTGCAGGTTCTATTTTTTGTCTTAAATTATATATTAAGTATTTATTTTCTAAACTTATTTATTTAATCTAATTATTTTTATTTTTTTCCAATTATTTTTTAGTCGGCAGGTGCAGCCAAAGAAGATAAAAGAAAAAATAGGGCTAAAGATCCGTCCGGGCCAAAGCAACAAGGAAAGAAAAAAATAAATCCGAAACCTAACATTCCATCACAATCTATGCATACGATAGATAACATTGATGATGAAGATACAGGTCCAATTCCTGAAGTTGATATGCTTGATCAATTAACAGGAAAGCCTATTTCAGAAGATGAATTATTATTTGCTGTTCCTGTTGTAGCACCTTACAATACTTTACAAAATTATAAGTAAGTAGCTCCTAAAACGCTCAATAATTTACCTCTTTTTCTCTCATTTATAATAAATTTCAATATTTATTTTAGGTTCAAAGTGAAATTGACACCTGGTATTGGTAAGAGGGGCAAAGCTGCTAAAACAGCTATAGCTGTATTTCTCAGAGACAAAGAAATTTCTTCACGTGAAAAAGACCTATTAAAGGCAATTAAAGATGAAACAATAGCCAGGAATATACCTGGAAAAGTAAAAATAAGCGCCCCTCAGATTCAAAAATTAAAAAAATAGTTAAAAAATACTGATTTTTATTCATATAATTGATAACCTGAATTACTTTTTTAATTACTTTCATCGTGTAAAATTTATTTGTGAAGAAATGACATTTTCATTAAATTACACAATATCTAATGATTATTAAATTACAAAACATTAGCTATATATTTTTTAAAAGAAAAATATAAAATTTATTATTTACAATTACCGTAAGTATTCAAATCTAAATACTTAAGTTTGGATATAGTAAATATACATGTAAATACATATGTGTAAAATTTTTTTTAGGCAGTTTAATTATGATCCTTTAATTAATTCATTTTGAATTTCTTTTCTTTATTATCTGAAAACATATCTTACATGCCCAATAAAGCGAATTGATTCTTTAAATAATTATTGCTGTGATTACTTATAACAATATAAGCAAGAGAAGATTTCTATATTCAACACATAAAAATATTCAATTACATGCATTTAACATTTTATTTTATCAAAAAATATGAAGTAATTTTTACAACATCATAATAGTTTTATAACTCAAAATTTTTCATTTTTGGAAACTCTATTCACATATATACAAAAATAGAGATAATGATGAAAAATAGAAATGCTTTAATCACGAGTAAACATAATGTTGTATTAGTAATAATTAATATGAAATGTGTAAGAGGTGTGTCATGTACAAAAGTGCATAATGTATAAATGCAAGTTACATAATATTTTGTTGTAGTATAAATACCACACATAACTGTACTTCTTTTACCATTCTTTTATTTTTCGTAATACTATGTATCAAACATATCTTCGTCTGATTCGGTTTCAGTATAAGTTGTAGGTATTATTTTATTGGATTGCAACCTAGTACTTGCTTTACTCCTAGCAGTCGCAACAGGTCTTGCTTTTCTTCTTTTTGATACAATCTGAAGATGTATTGAAAATATATTTATTTATGTATTTATATAGTATTTTCATCATTTACATATTTATTTAATTCTTATTTAAATAATAAATTGAAGAAAAAAATACGAATTAAATATCTAAATTTTATTACCTCAGTTTCAGAAGCTGTTTCTGAATCATTCAAAAACTTGATCTTTTGTTTTATTTTACTTGTGACTGGCTTTTTCTCTCGTTTATTACTTGGTTTTGGTAACAGCTATACAAAGTAATAGAAATAAGTATTCTAATGACAAAAATAAATCCGAAGTCTCTGAATTTAAATAAAATTAAAAAATGAGTACTTCTGTTTCATACAGTTTTGTAATTACCTTTATGTCAGAATCTTCTTCAGAATCATCGATTGACTCAATTGAAACTTTCTTTCTACGAGACGAAGCTTTATTTTTCACTATCGTATTTACTTTTTCAACTGATTCTGTTTTTTTCGCTTTTTTAAGAATTTGAATATCATATTCACTGTCAGAATCCATATCATCTAACGCCTTCACAATATCTTTTACATTACAACGCTTCTTGTCAATTACGACACCTATAGTACTTTTTCTTGAATTTGGAGTATCCAGTTGTTTCATACGGGGACTCTTTCTAACTGAGATTCCATTTATAGGTTTCTTTGAATTTTGTGGAGTACGTTTAGAAGTATTTTGTTGTATTAGCATGCCAATGCTGTCCAATTTTAATTTCCCATCTGGTTTATGACTCAATTTCTTTAAACCACCTATTAATATTTCTTTCAATTTTTCATAAGATGGTATTTCATTAAATTTTATGTTGGCTAGCAAAGTTATAAATTTGTGGACAGCCTGTGGAACAGATCCATGAAAACACTTATTTAGGAAACTGTCTACATTGTTGAAAGCTTTTTCTTTCTCTTTCTGAACAGTAGCTGGATCGAGTAACTTTTCCCATGGTAGTGAACCACATAACCACAGGATCATATTGTAACTCAAAATTTCAATATCACCACGACGCGTTGGTACTAAAAAAAAAAATAAAACATTTTGTATAATCATTTTTCTAATTTATATTCAAAGACTGATAAATTACATTAAATATCAAAATTGTGATTTTCTAATATTTACCTCCCATATGAGCGTCTCTGCTAGTATATTGTAAAGTGCCGTTATGTGCCTTCTTTGGATCAATTTTCAATTCAGTACTTGATGTACAACGAGAAGCTAAACCAAAATCGACTAAATAAACCTGATCGTAGGAATTCAAATCCAGTAGCAAATTTTCGCCTTTGATATCAGCATGTACATAGTTTTTGTGATGAATGTACTCTAATATATCTATCTAGGAAATTTATTAGAATATAACAAATTATGTTACTAAAACAGGTACTTATTATTAATAACTATTTAGTATTCATTTTGTCTTACTATTTGCAAAGATAATTTATATACTATGTGTTCCGGAAATTGTTTGTTGTTTTCTTCAAATATTTTCCACAAGTCTTTTCCATATCGATCTATTACTAAAAATCGATATTTTGTGTTTTTATATTCATGACTTCCAGAAGCAACATATTTAGGTATTCCGAGTGCTGCAAGTTTCTTTTTTTTCTGCCAGCTATCAACTAAAAAGATACTATGATATATTTATCTCAGGAATATCTGCACAATCAGATATTATCCATTGTTATATAGACTGCAATTTTAAAAACAATTTGTCACATGGAATATATTAAAAATAAATTTTACACTTTTAAACTTACTTTCATCTGACTTACAGTTCCTCATATAAAAGTGCATTTCTACAAATAATGGACCGTTTCCATGTGGTTCCTAAAATGAATTTAAAGAGTATGTGAAGTCAGAATAAAAGCTAGAAAACAAATAGTAAAAATAAGGAGAATACTCACAATTTTTATGACATTAGGATAATCTTTAGGAATCTTTTCAAAATATGGTGCGGCTATAAATAATTAATATAATCAATTAGTACAATAATAAAATATTTAATGTATTAAACAAAATATATATCTTATAAAAGAAATAAAATACATTTAGATCTAGTTACATAAAACAAAATCACAAGTCTTTACATATTTTTTATAACTATAATTATACATAATAAGACTTAAAGAAAAAAAGGACATATTGACCTTTTTTTTTGCATAACTAGTATTTCCCTGTTATGTTTACAAAATGAGAATAACATGTAACGGCGATGTAATGCAATAAAATAACAGGATTAATTTCGCATACCAGAGTAAACTTCCCCGAAACCGCCGACACCAATTGACTTGCCAAGAATCCATTGGCCCTTTGATATATCCCTGAGAATTTCTCCAGCCGGTATCGGGTCGGGCATTTGATAACCTCCTTTCTTCTTCGGTACTTTCTTCGCTGCTTTTGCTGCCATTATGCCGTTAAACACAAATCTTTAAAGAAATCAAAATCTGCGTTGAACGTGTCACGTAACGATTTCGATCAACAGTTCATAGATCATCAAAGATAATCAACAATAGAGGTAGATAATGAATATGAGAACCGATTACGGAATTACGCGCCAATACTAGCTGCCATTATACGCCGTTATGAAACATGTGATGACAGGCAACGGCATGGTTGAATTAAAGAAAGGCAGGTGGAGTGTAGCCCTAGAGGCAAATCTGGTACAAGATTGAACCTATTTTTGATTGGCTTGATAAAAAAAATGGCGAAACCAGATGATGCTTGAGCACTTGAAAAATTAAAAAGCAGGGTATCAATCATTGAAACTTTTTCCTTAGCATGAAAAGTGAAAAGTGGAAATTTTCTCCAATAACTCCAATGGTAAAAATTTTCACTTTTCACTTTCCATCCTAGGAATAAAGTTTCATGATTGATACCCAGATATGTGAGGTCTGTTTTTTATTGTTGCACTCTCTCTGAAAACTGGTACATACTGGTGCAATAAGTTGAAATGAAACAAACATATATTTGTTTCACTTTAGATCTATTTTTTATTGCTGCATTCTGAACTTCAGAATGCAGTAATAAAAAAATAGATTTATAATAGATTTCCAAATCAAAAATGGATGTAATGGCGCTAGTGTACGGGCGATTTTGACAGACTCACGAAAAACGCAGGATGATCCCTTTCAATTCTCAGATTTCTCAGGTTTTGTGTTCGTTAGTGTTTGTGACGTTTGTGTTTGTAACGTGTGAAGTGTGAATGTGTGTTTATTCCGGAGACTCCGGAATATGTTAACCGGTTTTTTAAGCTCGATTTCAATGCGAAATATCGCGAAAGAAAAATTATGATTATGGTTGATCAACTTGTGATATGCAAGTTTCTTATGAGTCGATATATGAACTAGTTCATTGAATACACAGAAGTTTATGCACCTAGTTACATAGGTTATCTCTTTAGTCGTTTGGATTCCTCTCTTTTTTATCTCTTTTTTTCCTTAAATGGAAGAAACTGCGCCCGATTCACCGAAATCACAATCAGGGAAAAACAATTGTGTTAATGAGTCAAACGTCGATGTGATCTACAGTGAAAATGACATGGAATGTCATGGAGAGTGCACGCCGCAACAGTCTGAGAAATGCATCAACAATTCTATTTTCAATACCATTTCCAAGATCGTTAATCCCACTACAAAGGTAAACTTTTTCTTTTATTTTTAAAAGCAGAAGCTCAGATGTTTTTAATTAGATAATTCTTAATAAGGCTTTAAAACTCTATTCGGGAAATTTTATTCGTTAAAAGTGATGCTCAGTTCTGATATTTTTATAATATATAATATTCTTATATATGAATAGAACACATAATTCTTTAACATAACAAAAAATCCTCCAGTAAAATAATTTTGAATAATTCTTGTTAAATCTAAAAATCATTTTTCTAAATACAACTTTATGCTTAGTAATTGTATGTGTAATTCTTCTTTTTTAATTTATTATAGTATATTATATGATTTTATTTAAATATAAAAATCTTAAGAAATAATACTAGTGAGAATTGTTTTCAAAAAAATTGAATAAATTAAGTCGTATAATTAAAGTATTTTCATATGTTGATTAAGGACTATTAAATTGATTAAATTGTGTGCTCTGATATAA